GTTCTATTTATTTACTTTTGTTTCTATTATACTTTTTNTTTTTTTTTTTGTGAGGCAACCGTTGGCGGCTTTCATCCTGGTCACCGGCAATTCTGACCACTCCAGCGCCAGCCAGCCAACTGGTCGTCTCGCGATGCCAGGTTCGCACGCTACTCATATAAAAGATAGTTTTTTCGAATCGCTCGAAAATCATTTAGCCTTGGCGTCCACTTGTCTCGTATCTGCTCTGGTGTCATGTTTCTCTCGAGACTCTCTCTTACTAGTGGAGAACCTGCCAGCACGTCAATATTGTACGTGTTTGAGCGTGTGTTGTAGAGGAAGCCAAATGACTGATTAGCGGACCCCATATTCAATGTGCTGCCGTTTCCAAACAGTTTCCTCGCCGTGTAGAGTAAACTGACGCCAACAAATGGCGCATCAAAGTGCGCCAAGCGACTGGATTCACCTTTGAGTTCCACGTACACCTGCAGGCCGCACACATTCTCGCCCGAAAATTTGGAGGTGGTGGGAGTAAAACACTGAAAGCGATAATTGGTATGAGGAATGCGGAGGGAACGCATAGCATCGGCCCAAGATTCGTTCGCCCAGAGCGCCCCGAGCAGTTCAAAAGGACGTGTCGAGCCGCGGCCCTCGGACATGTTTGTCCCTTCAAACAAGCAAGCACCGCCATAAATCATGGCCGTTTCTACCGTGGGCATATTTGGAGAGGGCAGCACCCATGGTAAGCCAGTATCCTCAAAGCGCATCGAGCGTCGCCAATTCTGCATTGTGACGACTTCAAGATGGAGTTTGGTTTGCGCATTGGCAGTGGCTGCAATCCACCCTTGGCCAACGTACATTTTGGCCAGCTCGCCCACTGTCATGCCGTGCACTTGAGAGATGGACCGACGGCCCACGTAAGAATTAACAAAGCTTTCATTGAGCACAGGGCCGAATGCATTGTTGCCAGCGATTGGATTGGGCCGGTCTAGGACCATGACAGACGTACTGGCTATATTTGCTGCAACCATAACATCATAAAGTGCCCATATATCTACAAATCGAATGAGTTTCTCCGATTTCATGCTTCAACTGCCGCAACTGGTGCAACTGATGCAACTGATGCAAGGAGGCTAAATTATCCACTCACAAGTGTAGAAACGGGCCCCCACGTCCTGAATATCGTACAATATCAGGTCCGCTCCAGAATCTCGAATATAACTGACCAGCGTGGACGTATTGGCATTATATGCGTTGTATACCATCAACCCTGTTTTCGGGTCGATAAAGGTGGCCTGGCCGGCACCAGCCTGCGAGGTACCGCGGAACCCGTGCTCTGGTCCCAATATACCCACCAAGTTGACTGCTTTGGAGGCAAACATGACATCAACGCCCAGATTGAGCTCTGGTGTGACTCCGGTGGGATTTGTGAGGAGTAGAACCTTGCGGCTCGCAAGCTGTGAATAATTGGATGCAATCAAGACGTCGAGGCCAGTCTTTGTTTGGCCAAATATGCTGTTGATTGGACTGACAGACGCCTGCGCCGCACCAATCGTGATTGCTAATAGAGTGAGCGGTTTCATGTTTTCTTTCTTAAAGCGCTGTGTTTTGCAATTGGAATAGAAGCTCTGCCAAGTTGTATTGTCTGTATTTGGCCAACTCGCATAAGTAGTAATAGTTCCATAGTCTAACTTGCCAGTACGTTACTAATCAATCAATTCGGACCCCGCGACGTCAACGACCAATCGCTAAATGAACGCGATCCAGCTCAATTACACCAAGCAGATACGAACAACTAACTAACTAGTACGCTCACGCTACGGTTTAGTGTGCCATTGTGATTGCTCGGACAATGGCTGGCCGTAGGGTGCTAGATTGGCCACGCACAACTTGCAACCGGGTTTTGACGCTAACTAAGAATGGCGGGATCCGTCGGCGGACCGGCTATCATGATAAGCCGCGGCGTAGGGCGTAGGGTCGTAAAAATGGATTCCCCCGCTCGTGATGTTGTTGAAAACAGGTGACAGAATTACTTATCAGTTCTAGCCCAATGATTTACATCAGACCTAATCAGGATTAATGATGATCCCACGTGTCCAACACCAAGTTGCCAGGGCCCTTTCTACTCACGCGTGTGCATCAAGCCTGTCGTGCCCGCACTGAAATACTTGGGACGTGCTTGAGATGTATCAGTACGTCGCAGCTTGCTTTGTGCTAAAACTCAGGTTCTTTGACGGGGCAGGAAGGAAAGACTTGTAGGAGATGCAGGCAAAGAAGCGGCGAAGTAATTTTGAAAAGCAGATGGTAATTACTATTACCAGTAGTTGACACAAGCGTTTGCATTTTGTTGTGAGTATTGAAAGATAAGATAAGGCTGCACATCAAGACTCTAATTTGCGGGCGGCATAACTATCTGGCCGAGCCGATTTTGCGGCCCCATTTCTCGTATAGCGGCTGGTTCCAGTTGTGTATTTTGAAAAGCAACTTGGAGTGCAATTGAACATCAGTTGCAATTTGAGTGAAGAAGTAATTGAATCGTGGGAATAACTTACTCTTGGTATAGTTAACTAATGGTTGTTACCTGATCAGTACTGTAAGCCTGAACCTAACTACTCCTTGGCAATTTTCGATAGCAAGTCATAACGTCCCACTACTAATGTCATATATATTGATGGCAAAAATTGATTCAACTCACAAGCAACGTTACTTGAAGCGCGGCGGCTATAGAGACTGTACTTCTCCCTGGTAGGGACTTTAGAGACTTCACTAACTAACGAGCCAAAATGATATCACACTGTCTTTTAACAAGTTAGATTTTGAGAGTGCTTTTCATTTTCGAGACTTTGGCGCCCACCAAATTTCAGCTGGCTTTGTTAATTACTAAGCGGGTCACCAGTCTTGTTCACGCTATCTTTCGAAACGAGCTATGTATGGTTAATCCCCCCCTTTTTTGATTAAATTGAGAGCCCTAGAGGCTACGTATATTGACCTATTCGCATGTATCCACCCAGAGGGCTCAACTTTTAGGCGACAGTGTGACGTTGCTTTGGAAGGGATTTCCAGAAGCCGTCTGCTTGCGGTCAGCCAGTCAGCACCTCATCTGACGTAGATTCTTTCATCAGGGAGGCTCCTCTTCCGGTTGCTCATATAGCTCCCAGTGGCCACTCGGAACTTGGCGGAATATTTGCTAGTCAGATTTCGCTTGAGACGATGCACCAAAGCCATATAATGGAATGGCAACGGAATGTAAAGTTGCGGGTCTAGGCTTCGTCTGATGATGCTAGGTTATCTAGAGTAGATAATAGAGTTACTTCTGAGCGGGCGGTGTACTATGGAGCTGTCAGCTGCACGGCAAACGAAATGATATAGCCGTTGCTTAGCCACACAAGTCATCTTGTTCTGATAGACTCCACGAACGCGCACAAAACCGGAGCAAAGCGCCTGAGTCATGCTACCTGTTTTCTGATGTATTGATATGCATATCGGCCGTTAAAACCGTCTAGAGTGGGCTCAGTGGAACCTTGTGGGCATTACGCAGTGCCGCAATAGCCGTTTATGCATACCTCGCTTGCGGCGTCACGGCTTGTACAAAATAACCGTTGCTCAGCCACTTACTATTATATACCAGGTCTACATGTACGTGGGCTCGGGTAGAGGACTGCTCAATTAACAACAGAGTTTGAACAAATCGACCACCAAAAGGTCACTCGCCGGCTTTGATCAATCAGAGCGCCGCAACCAGCCTTTCAAGTACTCCCTTGAAGGTACAGAGGAATTCTCTCTCAGTACACGACTAAGCCCCCGGCCTCTTAACGGGTCTCCTTCGGTGCTTTTGAGTGCTTTCTCAGTGCTTTCTCAGTGCTTTTTCAGCGCTTTTCAAAAGGCTGTATCAGGGCTCTGGCAAGTGCTGCTAGTAACTACCTTCGCGCGCGAGGGGTGTTTTTCGACATAGCAATACGCTATCACGTAGAAAATGTCTTTTTACTATCTAGTAAGACTATTAGAGTATCTAGTATATATAGGAGTTTATATAGATCTATTCTAATATATCTAAGTAACGTAATAGTGTTACTAGATAGTAAGGAGACATTATAAATAGGAGACGCTATAGGGGCTATGTTAGAAAACAGCCCCCTCCCGCGTAGGTAAGGTAGGGTAAACGGACCTGCCTAGTAGGCTTAACCTGTTAGAGGCTCTGGCAAGCGGCTGCGAGGTAGGTATGCGTACGAAGTTGCGAGAATTGTCTAACTAGTGGTAACCTCGAGTGGTAAAGTGACTTCTGCTAACTAACAAGTGGCAATCTTCTCAGGCACTCGTGAGTCGTCAGCGACTGCCGGACCGTAATAGGCTTAGGCTATTCTTGAACATGATTCGTTTATTCTTGTATTGACAGCCCTCTTCGGTGAGAGTTCCCACATTGTCTTCTCTTGCATATTAATTGGCATGATTCAGGCGGAACGTTGCCGGCCACTCACTGGCACAAAGGGTACGTCAGCCAACGGACCCCAGACCTTGCAGTCCACCGTGGCGATTTTAACATTCTTGATAGTTTCGATACTATAGCATGCTAATCTGCCGAGTTTAATCTTATAAGGCTTGAAATTGCATGATTTATATATCAGGGGCATTAATAAGTGGTTGTGCCAAGGTAATACTCAAGTTCTAGCCTATTCAAATAGATTCTTTCTTTTACCTATATATTCACTTCACCTCTACATACATTCTGAGAGTGTGGAAAGAAGAATTACCGCCTCCTCCTTCCTTTTCATCATTTCTCTACTACGAATCTGCGACAATGAAGACTGCTGTTGGTATTGTTTTCACGGCGGCATTGGGCTCTGCCTTGCCCCATGCCGATAAATCAACTACGACTCTTTCCTCCCGCGACACCGAGTCGAAGCTCCCTTGGATCCCTTACAAAGGCACCTATGGTCCCTGCATGGAGGCTGTCCATGGTGATGGTGGCCGCGAGGCAATTGAGAAAGGTTGCGGCACCGAGGGATTTTGCGATTTATTGAATCCGGTATACGGTCCGGACAACCTCGAGCGATTGTCGAAGAAATATGGCTACGCCAACAACACGGAATGCTACGCTGCCCACGACAAGATCCCTTGGGTCGAGTACAAGGAAGACTATGGCGCCTGCATGCAAGCCGTCCACTCCCACGCCGACCGTGAAGACTTTGAGGAAGCCTGCGGCACTGAGGGATTCTGCGACATGTTCAACCCGGAATACGGCACCGAGAGCCTGAAGCGAGTGTTGGAAACCTGGGGCCAGTATGGCTTCATGACTCACACGGAGTGCTACGCCGGCCACACCAAGAAACCTTGGGTCGAGTGGAAGGACTACGGCTCCTGCCACGACGTTGCCTACTCAGTCGTTTCTCGCGAGAAATATGAGGCCGGTTGTGGCACTGAGACATTCTGTGATTTGTTCAATCCGAAACACGGCACCGACAGCCTTAAGCGAATGACGGAACGATATGGCTACGCTACCGTCGCGGACTGCATCGCGGACCATGAGCCACAGCCTTAATTCGCGATATAGTACACGCCAAGCCAACATAAATGGCTAACAAGTCGCTTGTCACAAGCCTGTCGCATGTGCATGGGCTCGTAACGGTATAAGTCTAGTGTAGGCGGCTGCTTGCCAGGCACGGGTTTGGGTCATTCCGCTGCATTCGCAGATGGCGGTATCGATTGGAAATACTGTTTCCCTAATCATAAAATCTAATATAAATGCTATTGCTACCATTCACGAGCCGTGCTTCATATGACGTATAGTTATCGATTGAGTATCGGCCGAATATCAGACAACCTATCCACAACAGCGAGAACGAATTTGAACGGATCTGTACAACAATATTCTCCAAACAGCGTCTTCGCGCCTTTGAATGGGCATCAAATAGCCTGTATCCAAGCCTATCGCCTAGTGAAATTTTAGATGAGCATGGCGACCTCGTGGTCAAGAGGTGGCATGGCCAGCTGGATCCCGCAAGCACGCCACGCAACTTGGCAAAATACCTCCTCGGGACGCCCTACTATGCATCAAACGAGCGAGATATCAACCTGCTCCCTATGGTCTGATTAGAATTGCAGCCGTCAACGCACTACTTCTCGTCAACCAAAAGATACACACGTCCTAGCCTTTAGCCCCGTACACGATGCCCTTCACAAACAGCCAGCGCTCCATAGCACCACAGCACACCTGCCACCAACAACGACGACAAAGACGACTACATACGGAGGATGAAAGGAGATCATCTAGAGCTCTCGCGAGAAGAATTTCGAATAATTTTATTGCATGGGGAATACCCAAAGCCATCGTTTCAAAAAGGCAAAAACGTGCCATCTGTGAAGTTGAACAAGGCCTGCAGCATCATACCTGAAACAATGGCAGTGCCACCAAAGTCGAAAACTACGGCAAAGAAAAGAAATTCGGTGGGGTTGCCTTTGAAAGATTCGATCTGGGCTACCAGAAGCGTCTAGTGGATTGCCGTTCACCATGCTGAACTTGATGCTTATACATCGAGCGTTCCCGTCACTAAAATCTCTAAACAACCGCCGTTCTGACGTTATGTCAGCAATACATAGAGAGAGATACGTAGAGGAAGCCATGTCTTGGTACGAGAAGAGGCTGAGACGGATTTTTGACATGTAAAAGTACCTTGGCAGCTGACTCTTATTGGCTGCACAATTACCGGGCGTGAGCAACAAAGGGAAGTGAGGAGCACATAAATCCAGGGATAACCAACAGAACTCTATTGAGTAAATGAATCTGTAATTGAGTATTTGAGTAAAGAGAAGCTTAGAATTTGGGCGCTATACTCAAATAGCCCTTGGAGTCGTCAATTGCAGAAAAGATCTGGTCGCCAGGCGCTACACTCAAACAGCCTTTGCAAATCCAACGCGGGAGTTGGTGGTGTCATAGACAGAGTAATAGTGCTCCAAGAATTTCTGCCCAATGACTGCGTCAGGTACAGCATTGCCGTACTCATCAACACCGCTCCCACCGTCGCCGATCCAAGCATAGTAGTAAGACGGATTGAAGCCCTCCAGGTTTGCATACTGGTCCTTGGGGACCAAGTACTGGTCGGGGGTAAGAGTGTACGTCGTGGAACCAAGCGTGATGCTGAACGAGGACGTAGGCTTCTTGGAGTAGCGGACAAACTGAGTGGCCTGGTCGTAAGCTCCACCAGACGCAGTCAGGAAGGCCTTGTAAGCAGCATCGGGCAGGGCAATGAGGGTGGTGCCAGTGTCGACGATGCCGGCATTGGTGTTGCCGAGTTTCTTGGAACCATACTGAAAGCTCGCCGAGACGCCCCAGAAGGGGGCAGCACCACCAGACTTTTGAGTCGGGACATAGGAAATCGGGCCAGAAAATTTCGTGCTGTCCACGCCACCAAAAGTCAGCTCGCCGTTGACGTCGTTGCTGTCACCTCCAGTCTCGGGATGGAAATAGACACTGAAAACCTCTTGTGGTATGAGGCTCTTCTTAAAGAGATTGTTGAGAAACGTAGGGACGGTTGCCTCATCTGAAACAGTGTTCTTGGTCAACGCCACTGGGCCAACACCGAAAATGCCGTCGACACCGTTGTGGAATCCCCGACTATACGAGGCAACGCCGACTCCCTGACCTGGCACAGAAAGACCCGCGATGGTTACGGTATCGAGATACTCCTCGCCGTAGAAACCTCCAGATCCATAACCGACCTGGACCGAGTGGCCAGTGTCCTTGCTGTTGGGGCCTGGGCTATAAGCCTTGTCTGCCCCGATCCAGGTATTAGACGCTATTGAAGCAATTAGTTCCCAAATGCTACAGGCTGCAGGTAGGTGAATGCTTACATCCAGTATCAACGATGAGCTCATAGGTGCCAGACCCGACGGTCACGTTCGCAACATAACTCACGACCAAGTTCTCGGCTGGTCCAGATTTCGGGCCAGTTGCCTTGTCTCCGCCGGCTCCAAAACTGGCAATGCGAGCCTTTGTATGCTCCGCGATCTCGCTTGCCGACTTGGCGCGATTGACTTGCTTCAGCTGCAGCCTAGCTATGCCGCTTTGCTGCTGGACCGGGGAAGCCAGTACGGATGTCGCCGTAGTGAGGGCAACAAGAGCTGAGAAGTGCATCTTTATGATGTTTTCGACGAGATTTCGAGAGGGAAGTTGTGACTATGTGCTTGCTTGAAAATGGAGGAAAGAGATTGAGACGAAGCAGTCATTCTTATATGCATGGAGTTATCGCACGCCATGGGTAGGCAACTTCATCCATCACATTCACATTAATGGTGCCATCTAATGAATGACGAACAATCTCGCTCGTATTAGCAAAACAATGTATGTTGATTGCTAACTATACTGTAAATGGCAGTTGGCTACGGTGCTCTTTCGAGTATAGCAACTAGAAGGGGCCGAGCTACTGAGTTGCCTAGAGTGGTGAACTCGCTAGTGCTAAATATTAGTTGGTGATGATGTGTTATTACTGTTTCCATAACTTTATTCTCTACACGTAGATCCAATGTGAAGGCACGGAACAAAGATAGATACATCGCGGATATCCCGGCTCACGTTAGCGAGCGACTTACTACTTTTATCATCGCTGCCTTCCCTGCCGGGCTTAGCGGCACCCACCTACATCAGCGTCTCGCCGCTTTGCGTGACTGCTGGGAAATCTTTCTCCATACTCTCTGCTTACCGCTATACGAGGAAAAAAACTGAATAATGTGGGTAGTCTATACCGACGCTCGATTCGTGAAGCTCGCAGAGTCTGTGTAGAACTCAAAACAATTCAGCAATACGAAGTTGCATTAAATAACTTGAAGTAGTGTGCCGCATATCCGTAGAGTTGGGATGATTCACGAGGCCTGAGCAGATGCGCACATAACCGATGGTTCAGTTTCCATCATAAATACTATCAAGAGAACTCATGTCCTCTTATGTTAAAAAGACAAATTTTAATTATTCTCTTATAGAGAAATAACAAAGCTTTAGTTTTTAGAGAATTAAGAAGGAATTTAAATATATTACTTGATGGTTGATAGTTCGCTAGGTACTGCTTTCTACTAGGCGTATGTCTATGTAGCTAAAAGTTTTATCTATAAAGGTAGGTACTAGTGTAGATATAAGAGGAAGGTTTTGATTTTATGTCGTTGCTGTTGGTGTAGAAACGTGTCGACAGGTATAGGGTAGCTGCAGTTGTGTTACATTGTATATATATTGTAAGGGCAAGGAGAATACTTATAGTCAACCAGAAAGATAAAGCAAGAATACGTCAGGCAGTTTATATTTACTTATTGGTTGTGCTCTGTAGCTTCATGTTCAGCCTTTAAGTCTGGGTGCTTGAACATGTCTTATATCTGCCCTTTCAACGAATTCTAACCCTTAACCTGAACCCGTGAGCCCTTTATAAAAACCATCCCATGACTGTTTAGCCCAGCCAGCCAGTTTCTCCATGGTTCGCGCTGCCTCTTCTTCCTTCTTTTTTTTCTCTTCCTCTTCCTTCTTCTTTTTTTCCTTTTCCTCATCTTCCTTTTTCCAGCGCTCCTCATCACAAGTCTTTTTGTGTTCTTTTCCAATCTTCGTAGCGGCATCATAGGCGTAGGATGTGTCGCATTCTTGCCTGTCATGCCAAGACTTGCACCTCGTTACGTCAGTAGACCAATACCAACGACTCTCATCCTTAAACGGCACACATAAATGAGTGTCTGAGTCACGATCGATACTCACGGCTCCGCCTATGCCAAATGGAGATGGCTGGGTCCCTGCGCTTCCATAGAACGGGTTTATTCGTAGCCATCGGCCAGCCCCGGTTTCGGGTCCGATCAGACCTCCCTTTCCCACATTGGACATGATGAAGCTATGCAGGAGTGATGCTGTTCCGGCAACGGTAGTCGCAGATCCGCCTAGGCCGGCGAAGGTCTTGGCCGATGAGGGGCGGGCGTTAAGGGCGTTGTACATCCCGGTCACTGTGCCTGGCGCGTCTTTCGCTAGCGCTTGCAAACGATGCTGAACTTTCTCCCCATCGATTTTTCCCTTGCCGTCTTTAGACTCAGAAATGATTTCATTGAACAACCTCATGCTTGCTTCTTCGTCTGCTGCAGCGTCGCCAGTGCCTACCGGCTCTCCTTTGCACCAAATCTACAGGTTCGTTAGCATATTAGTGCGCTGCCATTTGTTGTAAGCTAATAACTCCATAATAGATTGGACATACCGTATAATCACCAGTATCGTCAGGAACCGCGGATCCGCCAAATCCTCTGCCAAGTTTTTTGCAAAATGCTAGATTGTCTTCAAGAGAGGGGCCATCCTCCAACTTAAAGTCATCCTTGTTGCGGAGGCATGTTCCCATAAAGTGTTTATCAGCTTCTTCGCCAATAGGCTTAATAATGCCTGCCTGAAGCCCGCTTTTGGCACAATAGTCCTTAAGTTGGCTTTGATCTGCTTCCGGATCCGTCTGCCGCTTGTCGAAAGGGCTTCCTGTAGCCATGCCGGCCAGCAGAGTAACGAGCCTAATAGAGAGCTTCATCGTCGAGAAATTGTATTTGCGTCGTCCAGCAGCTCAATAGAGTGAGAAAGGGATTTATAAGTAGAGAATTTATCCTTCTGATTGATAAGAAGAGAAAAAACTTGGATGGCTTTTTTTAAGAGACTTCTGCTTCTACGACATTTGGTTCCCTTTATATACATTTACCTATACATTAATGTCCGCCTTCGGGTTGTCTTCCAAAGGCTGAAAGCCTAGGCCAAGCGCCCTCTTGTCATGTGCTACCATGCCTACTACACGGATATCCTTGGCCCTTCGCCTAGCTAGGCCGGTTGAGCTATATTGGTGTTGAGGCATTAATATCCTTAAATTAACTTCTAGCAATTAGCATAAAAACGACACTGCCGAGACTCCTAGCCATGGGGTCGAGGACTTGGCTATGCTATAATTTTGAGCTATCTAATACGCCCTCGTAAGGGTATTTCCGGTATGGCTAACAGAACGACCGACCTAGACCGGGCCCTTCCGTCTCTCGGCCTGAATTCATCGCGGCCTTCGGTCTGTCGGTCTGGGACGATCTAGCTTCAGTAGCCTGGTCAGACTGCGGTCTAACTGTGAGCCACGCTGCTTTTGACTTATATTGCTATGAGTCGGTATATACTCTACAAACCCTGCTTAGCATGATATTTCGATGCTTTATCACTTCCTATACGCCTTACAATAACAAACGCTGCCGCACGCGACCTATTCTATTGCTATAAAGAAGGGACGTAAGGGCTTTAAGGTGATAGGAACGAGATAATAACGCCTAAAAATATCGTATAATTCTACGCACCACTTTTAAACTATGTGAATTCCATATGAAATACCAAGACAACGACGACGCCCGGTACCTATGAAATATTATAGCTATGGGTACCTATTAGCTCCCCTCAAAACACCATAATCTATCTTTAGAGAAAACACTTGGTGTCGTCATTAGGCTCGCCTGGTTCTCTTCCCCAGCCTTGCTCGCGCCTGACCCCACCCGGGCGATGTGTTGCAGCGTTCGACCTGCTGTGGCAGCAAGACCTCTCAGACCAGCAGCCGTGGTGGAGCTGAATACGAAAGAAGTGGGCAGGGTTGTGTTGGCTCTCCCTCTATTAGGTAATGTAATATTAGTGGTGTTGGTGCTAACAGCTCGTATTAATGCTGAATTTAATTATATGTACTCCTCTGGGCGGTTGATTCCGCTTATGACTCTATCTATTGCCGAGCAGTGCGTATCGGCATTTCTGTCTCTATTATAATGCAGACTGCATCATTGCCTTTAAAATCACCGCAGAAGTGCTTGACTCATGATCACAGGATCTTTATCTGCTGTTTCATGACTCAAGGGTACCAAACCCGAACCTTGACCAGGATTACAGTCTCGCGGAAGACGTAACAACACGAGCCTCAACAACCAGAGAAGAATGCTCTAGCAAATTTAGATGCTATAATGCCCTGTTGTTTATCATCGTATTAGACAACAGACTAAGCCCTCAACTAATCTACTACACGGAGACGTCTATCCCAGCCTGATACTGAAAGTAAAGTAGTGCTATCCTATACTAAGGTCAAAGGGACGAGGGGAGTACTGCCCTATTTCTTCTTGTGTTGCTCTGATGCTTATTCCAAGCCACGTTGGGTCCTAGTAAGGCTAGGTGTTTACACGTGATACGCGCCACGCCTTAGACTTTGATTTAGACTATTACGTCCGTTTACGCTCTAGAGTAGGCTTCTAGACGTGCTATCGAGTCTTCTACGGATTGATGTGCAGTCGTACCCGCTGTGGGCCCTCATAGGGCGCGCGGTCGGCCCATGTTCTCACTGGTTGCCCCTGGAATACTATTCCTGTCATCATCCTCCCGGTGGGACGTCTTTCGCGGGGCTCCGCACTTCCAGGGCCACATATGATCGGCACCGGCCAGCTTTATTTTGCTGGCTCCTCGGGGGACAAAACAGACCACACATCGAGCCCAGAAGGCTTACTTCGTCTAGCAGCAATCATCTTAGTATATAATCCAAGATGTAAGTTTTAGACTAATTTATCTACACTTTAGTAGCTAAGGAATTTATTAGTACTATCTTATAAACCTAAACCCCTAGTCTAGTAAGGTAAGTGACGGTCCCTATAGTAGGTGTTAAGGCTTATCGGCGGTCTGTTTTGTCCCCTAGGTGGCTGGCTTAGGTGGAGGGATAGCTCTATAGCCACCGGCTAATGGTGGCTGAACCTTAATTTGTGGTAGCCTTCGGCTTGGGCGAAAGAGCGCTGAATAACTACATTACCAACTGGCAATGCAGTATCGACTTAGTATAGAATACAAGCGCTACAAAGCAAACACAGGACTATACTTAAACAGGTATATACTAGTTATAAGTAGGTAAGTCGATAATATTTTCCCGCTAGATGGTCAGTAATATTCTATGCACATTTGAAACTATAGCAGTATTCACAGAGAAAGGCTCTTAAACTTGTACTTTACAATTGGTGTTTTTTTTTTTGACCGGTACTCGTGGCAGCATTCACCAAACGCCAAAGTCGTCGCGTCGGCCTCTCACCGACCGGCCTGGTTGTTTAACTAACCTATTTTAGTGTAGAGTACGCCACTGGACACAGCTCAGGGACGAGTGGAGTGCTGCCAGTTTGTCGGTAGTTGCCCTAAACTTTATTCCAGGCTTCAGGGGGGTATAGAATTAGAATTCTACTAGTAATTGTTTCTGTAAGGCTCCTAAACTGCCGAAAACTAGTAGTCTAAAACACATCACCAGCAGGACACCTTTTTATTCTCATTACCACCGAAAATTTTCAACGTTAGATATATCAGCAATTATAACACTAATAAAACCAGCGCGGCTGATTCGCCAGAGAAAGGGCCGATTGTAGATAAACATAATCACAACGCTTATCCCCAGTTCTCGAGGCAGATATCGCACGACATAAAAGGCATGAGTGTTCGTTGCTCGGGCTTTGTTATAACCGATGATGGTCATTACTTGGCCGTCCCTGTCGGTCTCATGAAACTCGTCGGTCAGTCTAACTGTGGTCTGTCTGTTAGCCACACCGACCCGTGGGTCATCAACTGCTACAGCCAGGATTTGCCTATGCCTCCTTGTCCTCGTCGTTTCGATGACTACATGGCCTAAATGCAGACACAGCCAAGACTTTGGAGCAGAACCTGTATATCCGTTGGTTCCGGCACACCATGTTGTGCCCTAGCCAGCAGGTTCCAGGTCGTACTGGCTGACTGACTGCATCTGAGTGAAAATCTTACTGGCTTGATTTTTATTCGGGTCAAAGGTTGCGCAGTAGAAAACTTTATCCGCATTGACTCGATCATCGCGAGTATCTAACTACTGACGTCTGTTTGATATACTGAGCGTGCCTGGCCCTGCCCATAGCAGGCCCTTGCGTCGACAATATATCAGTCTAGCTTTACCATCCACTCACATGCTACATTCTGTCAACACACTCAAGGAATTCCTTGATGCTTGCGTCGACCTTGACTTGTCCAGTGCAGCGACGTGCGGCCTCCATACAGCCTTCGGTGTTGACTCCGGGGCGGCTACAGTGTTCCTTGAGCTGTCTGTCCACCTCCTCGAGCGACTGACTGTTGAGGCTGTCCAGGCTGTCCGGTTTGTTCTGGCTGTTTATCAGCTGAGGGGGTCGACGAAGAGTGCTCCTTAATGTCGACTCCGGGGCGGTTACAGTTTTCCTTGGGCTGGCTGTCCGCCTCCTCGAGCGACTGCTGGGGCTGTCCAGGCTGTCCGGTTTGTTCCGGCTGCTTTTCAGCTGGGGGAGTCGACGAAGAATCCTCCTTGGATTCGGTCTCAGATGAAGTTTGAGCTCCAGTCTGGCACTCGATCATTCTCTAGATGAAAACGATTAGCACCACTATAAACTTGTGCCTTGTCGGGACAGACACGGTCAGTTCTTACAACCGAGGTTCTGATCTGACTGGGGCCCTTTATCTCATTCAGACGATAGATTCTGCACTTGAAGCACTAAGTTTTTCGCGTCACGTTAGTCTTGACCATTGTCTTTTTCTGTTGTTGAAGTAGAAGCCCACCTCGACGCCCTGATCTTGGCAGTACTGGCCAAGCTGGGTATGCTTGAGAATAGCGGATTTAGGCGCCTTGCGATCAAACTCCTCCGAGCACTTCGCCACCAGTTTTATCTCCTCAGACCACTTGTCCGGGTCATTCCCGTAAATCTCCTCGCCACAAACCGTTCTTCCAAAGTCCGTCGTCGCCTCTGTGGCATTGCATTTGATAGCGGTATCCTGCAGATGGTAGATATTAGAAACCCTGCCCGAGACTAGAAGAGAGGCCAAGAGAGATGTTACCGTTTTCTTGCAAAGTATATTGTAAGCCGTGGGAACACCGGCTACCAAATTCCGTAAAGTCTATAATTTCTCATCACATTAGTTCACACAGAAGACAAGAAAATACGGCCCTGTGACCCGGTTCTGCTCATTATACAGGATCTGGGTACTTACATCTCCGTCCGGGTTGAAGATTCTGCGGGCAACACAGGTCTGAAGCCTTGCCAGTGCGCTATTCTTGTCCTCAGCGTAAAACGTAGCGTCATTCATGACACACCAAGCCGTGTTTGAGTGGCATGTCTCGCTTGTGACGTCGAGACCGTCACAAACAGTCATGAAGTCGGTTGTGCCCTGTTCGCAAAGTATCTGGTTAGTTTCTGTGGCATTTGTGTTATTAGAGGTACTCGGGAACCATCACATACGTTTCCAACCATAGGTGAAAAGGTGCAGAGAGTTATATCGTCCTTGGTAACCTGTTCAGACACATCCGATTTCTTTACCTGGTCCTCAATGCACTTCTGTGCACGGGGTCGGCAATTCTCATTAGGCTTTATCAACTTATTGCCTCGTCCGGTCTCGAAAAAGTTGCAGACTTTCTCTGGGGTCACCTAGCCACTCCCATCAGTATAACACTCTTGATTAATAGCAGGCTTGCTTCCCAACAGCTACTAACATCTTCTTGTCGAACAGCGATGGAGCGAGCGCTGCTGATGCCAGCGAGTACCGCAATAATCAAATTGACCGACTTCATTCTCGTAGAATTAGAATTTAGAAAGATTGTAATAAAAAAAAGGAGTGTAGCTAGTTTAGCAAGTAAAGAGAGTATACTAGTTGAGGATAAACAAGAGGTAAAGAAGAGTTGGCTTCAGGTCGAAGACGGCTTTATATACAACAATGGGCTTATAGCTAGTCCTGCTCTAATTCAGCAATATAACATAATGTGTAATCTCGTTAATTTCCTGAGATGATTTCATGCTTAAGTGTTTGACTCGCATCGGCTTATTACCGAGTGCGGCATATGACTAGCGACGAGTCACATTACGCCCACTTCTGTTATACATTCTTGCCATGCATAGCACGTCTCGTTCTGTCGAGTCTAACCAGTGTAGAAAATATCCTCGAGGACTAAACTGGAAGGGGTCTATCATGAGCAATGATTCACTGTTTCTCATGCAAATCCGGGTACGCTGAGCCTAGTCTCCCCTGTATTGCTGTAATGTTTATCGTCAGTAATTCATGTCGTAGATTAGTGAGTTAGGTGGTGTGGAAGAACCAACGTCATGGCATGCCTGGAGTAGCGATGTTCGAATACTACGGCCAGGGCATCGTCTACTTGAGTATCCCCGGTTTCAGTATGTTGCCCGAGTCTCAGCAGTACATCCGTCTGGTGCGAGTGAACTAGCCTTCGATAGTTCTTTGACTGGGCACGAATGATTTGATTCATGCCGTCCATCAAATTCACGAGTCAGTCAGGCTATGTCTGTTACTTGTTTACCTGTATGCGAACTCACGAGTCAGTAAGGCTCTGTCTGTTACTTGTTTACCTGTATGCGAGTCAGCGTACCGACTCAAGCACCAGCGACCGAGGCTGAACACGCCGTATGATGAGGTATACACAGGCTATAAGCATAAGAGAGAGAGATTATCAATTAATATATCTATAACTATAAGATACTAGTAGATATATATATTTCTTTTACCTATATTACTAAGAGTAGCTAATTCTTCTTATAAGATAAGTAACTAATATATAAGATAATCTTTAATTTAATTTATTATTTTTATATAATAAAAGAACTGTACACTGCAGCAGCCTGTATAACTACAAAGGTCCTTTTTCGGGCTTCTAATTGCAGTTGTCCCTATAGTATTCCATAGTATTCCGCAGTATTCCGTAGTATTCCGACCAACGCAAGAATAGTATTATCATGACTTACCCAAGTACTCTCTAGATAATAGTAATTGCAAGTCCGGCTCATCCTTGTAGCGATCCAAAGCCACTGCTCTCCACTCGTCCCAGTCCATCCCATTATCCACGCCAACCGCCTCGCGCAGACCGCTAAACAACCCAAGGAAGCCATCCCAATCGACGAGGTCATAACCGCAGCAGAATGCAAACCTATGTTGCAGTCGGCCATTCTGAACAACTTGCGCCAGCTCTTCCTGGCCCTTTTCTCTAAACAGGCGGGCCAAATAAAGCTCGTCATCGCCTAAGCAGTTTTTACCATGATAGAAATCTGCCACAGGCAACAACGCAATCGGCGAATTGAAAGCATGTGACGATGGCGCCGTGTGAGCCCACTCCCAGTCAACAATGCCAGTAATATTAGAACTCTCGTCAACCAGAATATGGTCTCCTTTGTCGTCTGCATGTTTCAAGTAGAAGTCGCCCTTGTTCGACGAGGAAGGTGCCACTAGCGGGACCAAGTCAAGCAAGAACCGGTGAATGAGGTACGCATCGACTGGCCGGTCGGTATAGGCCTCCTCTTGTATGATCCCGTCTATCAACAACCCAAGTGAGGATTTGTGATAATCCTCCATAGAACGAAACGGCCCGATGGTACGCATATCTGATTGTAGGAAATTTGTCAGAGACTCCTGGGCAAACGCGCCTACTCGTGATTGGCCTGTGTTATCCAGAGAGCCGAGATCCTGGAAAGGGTATTTGCGGAGGTCAATCAGAATGTCAGATATCTGATTGATAATCTTGCGCCTTTGTTGCTCATTGGCGAGCGACCATCTCAGCGATTTGCCAGGTAATTTCTCCATGAGAATGAAGCCAACGCCAACAGGGTTTCCAGGTTGCTCTAGAGCGTAATCATACATTTTTGGCGCGGGGACTCTAGTTTTCTCGAGAAACAAGAGTGTGGCCACTTCGCTCTGGATAATGTAGTCTCGCAGTGCCGGAGGAGGTGACGTGGCGTTGGCCCTTCGGATGCGTGCTAGCCATACGACCCCGTCTTGAAATCGGATTTCAACATGGTAGTTCATACCCCCCATGACAGCACTTCGTGTTGTTTTATCATATCGCAATGGCGCTATGGAGCATGGCATGCCAGATCGCAAATGCGTAGCTCGCGCTTCAAGAGCGGCTGTGTTGATCTTGCTGATCAAGTGAGCTACTTCACGTTCTTCCGCCCGTCGGGCAGCAGCATCATAAGCATCCGCATCCTACAAACTTGAGTGGTAAGTCGCGGCCATCTAGGCGAGAAGCAAAAAACATACTACCCAGCGAGGACAGGAATGAAACTTTTGTTGCAGGTGTTGCGAGCACAAATGGCGGTCGCAGAGTACGCAATCACCGAGTGCGCGAACTGCTGGCCTGTGGCAGCTTTCGAAATCGCACTGCCATAGGGGCATGGTTTGAAGAAAGCGGGCAGGGGCGCGATCTCGAGGCGGCACCACTGGCCATGGATCGATGGAAACCTTGGGTTGTAATCAGGGTGTTACCAGGAATATCACACGGCGCATTCAACCCCGCTATTCGTCGGCGGGCGAGCAACTCGTCTGTCGAACAGGGATCAAAGTCACTTGTTTTTCCGCCTCTTTTTTCGTTGAGTGTGGCTGCTGCCACATTTGTGACGTAGGACAGGCGGGAGAAGTGGCTCTGTGTCACGACTGTATTATCAGCTGTGAACAACTTCGTATAGGGGGGATTTTTCTTAAAAGTTTTTAAGATAAATATATTTTACTCATAACGTGAATCACTAAGACCTTATATTATTCATTATTCTAAAGTATATTTCGTCGTATTAGCATTCTGTTTACCTCTGTAAATAGGTAAATTGGTGCCTTATACGGTTGTAGCTAAAAGCAATTGCCTAGAAACATACGGTGGCGGGAGCGTATTATGATGTTGACTTGACTTATCAATGGTAAATGAATAAATATATATATACATCTATCAAGGAAGAACTAAGTTTTGGCTGCCAATAATGGCCGGTGTACGACGTTGTACTTGATGCCGCCGTTGACGCATTTGCCCCCACTATATGCTGCAGCGGCGGCCGCCTGCCAGATTGACGTCAAGTTCGTGATCGTTGACGCGGTCCGAAACTGACAGCAATCTGAATACTCCGTCACAAATTGCGAGAGAAGATAGTCATTTGAGTTGACTGATAGTATGGGGTTGCGGGAGTTGACAGCACTTCCGAAACTACGACAGAGCGGCAGATCATTTACTTGGCTTAGAGAATTCCAAATTGAGGCGTCCTTGACTCGTTCGTAAACATCTTGAGAGTACTTGTAAATGTGCAAAAACGTGGCAGCATATACGTTTGCGCACGTCAATGTATGGAGAATTCGACATTCCAGGTATTGCTGTACTATATTCCATGGTAACCTGATTCTGGCGGCCTCTGTCTAACGCCCTGCAATTGGTTGCATGCTTCTTCTGTGGTATGTGGCGTGCTAATTCTCTTGTTACTTGGCTGTAATTTGGCTTCATAATAAATATTAGACTGGGATTTTCTTTATGCTATCCCTACATATTTACAGCATGAACGAAGTTGTGGAGTGCTGATACCAGAAAATTGAATACTTTACAAAACTAGAGGCCCATTCGCCCATGAGTGTTAACTTACCCGAAGTTCTACTTTCTATAGTGAGAATGGTCACTTGGTACGAGGACAACAATGTTGACCTCCTACAAAGGCTAAAGAATACATTATGTTTATATAGCTAATGCCATAGGAAGGCTCCGCTTTTCCACATTCCAGAAGACCTACTTTAATCTATTTTAGACCAATAACGGCCGAGATGTAGCTAAGTGTCACATAGGTCTTCTAAAAACCTTCGCTGTTTATAGCTAGTATATATTATATCACTAAAGTTAGTTAATGTTCTAGAATAAAATAGACTGCCTAGTCCTTCGTTTATATAAGAACAGTCGTTTTCCTGTATAATAGAGTAGTCCTTATATAGTTAACTAACCTAAGATCCTTCTTCTAGCTTTTGATCAGAACTACCTCGTGGGCTACTCTACCTTCTACTCTGTGATAGCCTCATATACCTCGACAGTTATCTCTGGGATTTTCTCCTTTGGCATTCGACGCTGCACAATCGCATAAGCGAAAGTCGTTCATCTGCTTCCGACTCTGGCTCAGAGCCAGGCTCTCTCTGCACCAGGCAGGCTCTCTGATTGTCGTTTCCCGGGAGCCTAGAAGCTATAAGGTACAAGTCGTTCAATAGCGATTCATCATTAGGGTCTCCCATATTGCCACTGTATGGATGATGCTTGTCGCAGCTCTAGTCCAAAGCGCCGCTGCTCGCTTGCACCACCCTAGAGCCTCGCGTCGCACAAAACCAGCCTAAGCCAACTTAAGCATACTGTGTCAGAAAACACGTGGTTCTAACTTCTAACGACCTTCTACAGCTTTCCAACAACAGCGCGCTACTCACTCTGCATCGCCTATATCAGATTCCGTTTCTCCTCGGATACTTCTGGACCTCTGTTTCGACGGTTGCGAGACCACAGGCGTAGAGACAGATACATCCCATCGCGACACTAAGACACACTGTTAGCCTCCATCACTTGTGGAGAATACCCCTCAGCCTTAGTACCCCGCGAAAACGCGACTGCGAGGCAGCCAGAGAAAACAAATGCAGACGACGGAAGGGACGGGTACTCTGTCGCGGGGCTCACTTCACGAACGACAGCCGGGCGGTCCACGTCAAAGGCGATGGGCACCAAAGGTCCGAACAGGGTGCATGACTTGTCGGTAGGAAACTCAGGCCACCGCGAGGCAAGCGCAGTCTTAGCTTGCGGCTAATCACGAAATCAGAGCACGGCATATCAAATGCGATGAAGCCAGCCCGATCTGTCAGCAATGCCATCGCTCCAGCAGACAATGCGTCCAACCTCTTATGGGGGCGCCAGCTCGACCTCTCAATACAACCGCCTTCATTCCAACCGCGATCGAGCGATCTCTAAATCATTTCTTCCGCGATATTCTCGTCCGCGTCGGTATCGACGAATTCAGCGGTGACTTTCACCGACGTCAGCTACCACAGGCCACACATAATCTCCTGCCTGTTTGGCATGCAAGCAACGCCGTAGCCGCATCATGGTGGTTACACGGCGGTATAGCCAAACCTGCCCATGACTACGCTGCAAGGCTGAAAAGGGAATTTATTACACAAGAATTGAAAGCTACGAAGCATATCCTACGAATAACACAGCTAAGGACTCTATCGGCGGAGCAACAAAATGGAATTTTACTGGCAAACATCCTTCTCGTCATCCAACTTCGGCCGCATGAAAATGTCCACAGACTTTTGTCTATCCAGGCAACTAGCCTTCAGCTAATTCGATGTTGGCGATTCTGGGAGAGCATTGACTCGACTCCAGTCTCGGCCCTGGCGACACAAGTCTTATACCATTGGGTTAAATCAACTAGAGACGTTCGCGAGTGCCTGCTTACAACTCTGCATCAGCCGGGCGATGACTGGCATGAAGCCATTGCCTGGCTTCAGAAGCGATCTCTCTCCACGCCTATTCGTGCTTGGATCGAGATAGACATGATTTGGGCTAGCATGCGATCGCTGTTGGAGGGACTATCATTCCAACCAAACAAAAAAGAAATCGAGGCGGCTCAATCCATGCGCAGGACACTTAACCAATACTTTATCCGTTGGAGAGCAAGATTTGACGCTCTCTTGGTGCATACCTCAGCAGAAGACTCGATACAATTTACCGCACTTCACGCCCGACGTATGATGACGGCTATTTTATTCAAGGTGGATCTAGCAAACTTTGAGGGGCTCTGGGATGAAACCTGTTGGGACGACCTTGCGAGCGATTTTGCTGCAGCTTTAAGTTATATTATCTCTGCACAAGACGGACCTACAAACTGGTACGGCCAAGAGGTGCAAGTAACAGCGTCTATCTGGAACTCTCTTCATTTCATTGCTAGATTTTGCCGGGACTCTATTCTCCGACGCACCGCTCTGATTACAATGCGAGCCGCCATGTTCGCCGCACTGGGAACTCTTCCAGGCGATATAGGAGACGAGGAAAAGAAGCGGAGGACTAGCAATTTTCTCATCGACTATATAATCGCGCATGAAGAGAATGCATGGGACCATTGCAGGGAAACCCCAGCATGCAGGCGCGGTGAATTCATTTGCAACCTTCATCGCGTCGCGGTAGTGCGCGGACAAGAGCTTTCGGAGTCGCGTTACGAGTTTACCTGCCTGACCGTTGGTGATATCCTGCGAGCAGAAGCGGGCCAGAAATGGATCTGTTCAGCACCGATATCGGGCTGCGACTATTATCACGCATGTCTAGACTATTGGTGTGTATAGTATTGACCTGTCTTTGCAGGAGCCTTGTTGTGGAAGTGGACTGCCATCTTGCTGGACCAGTTTGAGGCATGTCATCTCTGGGGCGGTTTCTGGTAATGCATTCAACAGTACGCTTAATGCCTTATTTCCTACTCAAAAGCTCCGCATTATAGATTCACTTTATTTCTTATATCGGCATAGGCTGATTCTGTCGTGATTTGTCATTGCACGAAATGAGCGCATCGCGGCTTCGATTAATTGTGAGGATTTTTGCGACGCTTTCCAGGAAAAGTTTACTTGGAGGGGTAGATCAAGAGTTTAATAAAGCGACCGAATATGGTTGGCAGAGCACGGTGGCCAACAGAGGTTTGCTGAGAGAGGATGAACTTGCAATGACTATAGGGGGGGGGATTGTGGACGAAATAAATGTTGCGCAGGTTCGCGTGAGCAGTCACGATATATACCTGAGAGATACAAGCCTGCGACAACATATGCCAGAGCATCACTTGGCAGATGATTCTTTAGTTAGTGAGCAAGTACAATTACGATTTTTCTTTTTTCCAGGCAGCAGAAACAATGAAGCGGCGGTGGCGTCTGGGAGGCGAAAGGTTATTTTACCAAGCGAGACCCAAATTTTGCGTCTTCATTGTTTTACCGAGCTAGACCCAAGATTCCGTCTTGGTTGGCGTGCGCCTAATAAAGTAAATCTGGGGGATTTCTTGACACTCACAGAGCCGCATGAATCAAGGGAACCATACTCCATATATTTGCCCCAATTAGTCGGTGAATTGAAAAGACGAGCCATGCCCGCGTGAACAATTTTTTGAGATGCAGGCCGGGTAAGCAAAAGTCTGTGAGTCCCACGCCAAGCACAGACTGTCATGCACAACTCAACCTTGTCGATTGCGCCACCGGTGATTGGGCATGTCCCCGCGAAAAAGCTCCAAGGGAATCGGCTCCAGAGTCTGGAGTTCTGGAGTCGGGTTCTCCGGGGTCGGCTGTGCAACTAACTGTAGCTGGAAACCATGTGGGGGACACATTGAACCGGCCCGTCTGAGAAAGCACCTCGTTCCTAAACCGTTATTTTTCTAGACATGGACTGTTTAAACAAATAGAAAAGAAATAGGGAAAATAAGTGTGAAAATGATTAAATATATAACTTGTCCTTTGACAATATTATTTCACTTGCTCTCGCGTGTATTTATTATTAATAAGACAGTATCGAGAATCGACGAGGGCCAGTTTTTTTTTTGCCCCCGCCTTGCTGGAGTTTACATCCCCGCATCTGCGCTTTGACTCTCCATGTTGGCCCGCTCTGGGGGAGAAGATCAGTGGCGAGGGGGGGGGGGGGGGTTAGCGTGTTGAGCAGAAAGACGGCAGAGCTTCTGCTCTGGTGTTGTGGGAAGACTGATTATGCAGGGTGGCATGCAGCAGATGCGGCGCCAAGGTGTTGATGGTTGAGCCGCATCCGCTCAACGAGGTGTCAAAAAAACAACGCAACGACTCATTAAAGAAAAGAGGCGTGCCAGAGGCGCATTAGCTTCTCTTAGGCTATATCGTTTGATAGTAAGAATTTTGCACTGGTGGAGGAGCTAGGCTTTCCATCTGTCGTACGACTGGGCAGCGGACACAAGGTGGTGCGGGGAGCTGGCCGGTGTGGCGTCACCAACTCCCCCGCATCTCGGCTTCCCCAGCTCAAAAAGTTGCTGCACTCCAGGTTACAATGCAAGCCTGCTGATGAGCGGAGGGCGGGTTCAATAGTTTGAACCTGCCCATATGTGGGCACTCTAGCATCTTTCCCTCCCCCGCAACGCACATGGTCTGGAGCAGCCAACCAGGACTCCCACACGACGCCATCCTTGCCTCTTCCAGGCTGGCGAGCCCCTCAAAGGTTGCACCAAGTGTCCATCCACGCCGCTACCAAGCCTCGGCAACTGACACACACCATCGCAGAGACCAGGGCAGGGCTTTTGACTTGTGTCCATCTCGTTGTTGGCCCGGGGGCCGGACCCCCAGTCGCCGGAGCTGTCCCTGCTTGGTATAAGTCCCAGGCCATGCCCATTCCCCCGTCAGCGGTCCCTGCGGAGTGATGCTTTTTTTTGACCAGAGAACTTGTTGTAGTAACATTGTACGGCCGTGTCAGTTGAATCAGTCAGGCGAAGTCTCTTGTTGCTCTTCTCACCAAAGAAACTACCTCACCAATGGCACAAGTCATCTCCAACTACCCGGCGTCGCTGCCCACGCCTCCAGCCACGCCCACCAAGATGTCAGTCCACACGGCCAAGTCCAGGCCTCCGCAGGGCTTCATCGGCAACCTGAGCCAGGCACAAGAGGCCAAGCTGCGTGCCCTCTGGGCGATTGCGTACAAGTTTGTGGAAATCTGCGAGGCCCACGAGAGCTTCCGGGACGCCGTCACGCTCGAGGACAAGTTTGTGCCGCCCGCCATGAAGAAGTCCGGCGCGGCGGCGGCGCAGCAAAAGACAAAGGCGAGCCGCCGCGCCGCCGCCACGCAGCAGCAGCAGCAGCAGTATCCCCCCGCGCTGGTGCAGGAGCTGCTGTCGCTGCTGCCGACGCAGGAGCGCAGCATGGACAAGCTGGCGGCGGCGGCGCTCGACGCGCTCGACTACTGGACGCCGCACATGTTCCGCATCACGCTGCTGCACACGGTCAAGCAGGAGCACCCGGACGAGCTGGCGCTGCGCTTCCTGCGGCAGAGCGGCTGGGACGTCATCCTGGCGTGCAAGAACATGGGCAAGACGATTTACTGGCGCACCATGGAGGCTGCCATTGACGACGACATTTTGCGCCTGGGCGAGGGCGGCGCCGCCGAGGACGAGAAGAACGGCCAGGGCCACGCGCGCACCCTCGGCGCCGAGTTTATGAAGCTGCTGCGCTCCGGCAAGGGCTTCCTCCACGGCAACGACCGCGCGGACCGCCCCGTCACGTACATCCGCGTCCGCCTGCACAAGCCCGGCGAGCACAGCCCGGAGAGCATGGAGCGCTACATCATCTACCTGCTCGAGATGGCGCGCCTTTCCCTGCGGTACCCTGTCGAGACTGGTGTAAGTTGGGGCCCCTGGGGTGTCTTTTTGTCGTCGAGGGTTGAATTTCAGGGCTCGCTTGGTTGATGTGATGCTAACTTTTTCACTACCAGACTATATTTCTCGACATGAGCCACTTTCGGCTCAAGAACTTTGATCTAGATCCTCTCAAATTCATCCTCAAGTGTGCTGAACGGTACTATCCGGAATGTATCGGCCTCATCATCGTCCACAAAGCCCCATTTGGAACCAAAGGTGAGAGCCATCATTGGATCCCATCAGAAACCAAAAGCCCGACATGTATTAACAAGAACTTTTTTTCTTTAAGCGCTCTGGAAGCTCATCCGCCACTGGGTCAGCGCAACCATTGCCGACAAGGTCAAGTTCACCAAGAGCCGAAAGGACCTCTTCAAGTACATTGATCCCAGCCAGGTTCTCAAAGAGCACGGCGGCCTCGACGACTTTACGTACGAATACGAAGAGCCCATGATGGATGAAAACTTCAAGATGCAAAACACAATCACCCGCAACTACCTGCTCCTCGAGCGCCAGATGCTCGTGGAGCAGTTTGAAGACGTGACCAAGGAATGGGTCATGAACGCGCAGGGCACAGACCGGGCCCGCGAGGTCAGCCGCCGGCGCAACCAGGTCTGCGCCGAGCTGACGGCCAATTTCTGGGAGCTGGACCCGTACGTGCGCGCGCGCTCGCTCTACGACCGCCGCGGGTGCCTCAGCGGCACCGGCAACCTGCAGTACCACCCGCCCAAGTCGGACCGTCGCCGCCGCGACTCGACGGCCACGCGGCCGCGCTCCATCTCGGGCTCCAGCGTCGGCGCCCGCTCCAGCATCGTCGGCGCCCGCTCGGCGATTGGTGGGTACAGCTCCAGCTCGGGCATCTCGTCGGCCATGGGCTCGGTCGGCGCCCGCTCCAGCATCTCGGGCGCCGGCTCGGGCGGCACCGGCACCCTCACGACGTGCTCCATCCTGGGGTCGCCGGTCAAGGAGGATCGGTACGGGGAAATGGAGCACATGGATGTGGCGGATGTCATTGCAGACGACTCGTCATTCTACTCTGATTAATTCTTTTTTTTTTTTGGTCACGTTTTTACTTATTACGAATTGTATGAACTAGCAATACCAGGTACAGGTCTGTTTTTTTTGGAAGATATCAATTTACATTATCATTTTCTTGCTTCCTCAATTACAGGCAAAACTCGGCACCGACAAGTACAAAATACTTTTGGTAAATGTAGCCACATGGTAGATGTAGCCACATGGTAGATGTAGCTAACCAAAACCCCATATGAGATGGCATTGAGGGTGATCAACTCTGCCGCCATTGCTGCGATGCAGTGGTGGGCGGCCTGCACCTAGACAAACCATCAGGCCGACGCTGTCGCCAAGAATTCAGATGCGTAGCCAAGGAGCAAAATGACGGAGGTATTGTTAATATGATGCATATCATACTTTACCACTATGGACTGGTCATCATCACTTTGTTCAGGAGGAGAGATCGTCCACGTGCTTGGTAGTCGTGGCCGCTGCCAAGCATGGCCGCCGCCTTGTACACTTCTTTTTTTTTTTTTTTTGTTTTTTTTTTTCCAAGATGCAGTTACAAAACTTTTCAAAACATTATTCTCATTCTTGGAGAGACTCGTAGGACGTTCCAAGTCATCAGCTAGCCGGTGCGATATAATAATATTCACCGTTCCAGTTTGGCAGTGGCCTGATAGGGCCGGGCATAAATGTCCGCCAGCACATTGTCGTTACTATCCCGAACAATGCCCGAAATTTTCACCGTGAATATTTTACAAGTTCACTCCTCCTCTGTTACTTGTCCTACTACCTGTGCTGAGTCATCACCTCTGTCTTTTGAATCATCATCCGCCCTGAATCATCCGACGTCGACGACCCAGGCGGCGTTCTCGACGCTCCTCCACTCCTGATAATTCCCGATATGGCATCCCTTTGCCTTGCATCGACGTCGCTATTCTTGTGCAAACGTGTACTGCTCCGCGCCGCCGGACGGCCATTCTCATTTCCCGACTCGACGACCGGCGCGGGCGTATTCAACAACCCTTGCCCCATCGGCCGCCAGGTAATATCGCTAACCGCCGCGCGATGAATGCTGATTCTGTTACAAGTTTGGTTTCCAATGCTCAAAATGGCCGGCCTAGTTCTTTCGCGGCGGTAGTCAATGTCTCTCCCGCGCGTCCGCTGTTTGGAGCGTGTCCCAGAGGTGGACGTCTCGGCGGGCTCCAGGTTCGCTGGGTAGAATGACATGAGAAGCGGCTTAAGTGTCGTCGCGGAGCCAGAAATGATGGAAAAGTGCACGCACGCCTCTGTGAGGAAATCCGCCATTGTAGCGCCGCGGGCCGGGTCGGTGTTGACGCGCGGATCGAGAAGGACGAGCCGCACGGCGACGAGCACAACGACTCTGCATGACGGCGTTAGTATACTACTCGGCTGAATGTCCAGAGAAAAAGGGTAGCGTACAATAAGCGAGCGCCAAAAGCACATATAATCAGAATGCGCTTCCAGGTCTTGAGCTGGATGCCCCAGACGAGATGGGCTGCCATCCCCCACAGGACCAGCTCGATAAAGATGCCAGACACTTCAATACCTAGCCATCGTCTAAACTTTGAAAAACGCTCAGTATTTTTTTTTCTCTGAGAGGGGCGGCGGCGGGACTTGTATGGTAACATACCATAGTGTAAGACCCATCGAGCACCTTCCACGGCTGGGCAATGTTGCCGCGCATGCAAATGGCCAACAAGGACGACGCAGTCCACACGGCTGTGATGATGGCCAACGACTGCGCTGGCTGAATGTGCGGGCCCGAGTGGGAAATGTATACGATGAAGAGGGCTGCCGACACTCGGCAGAGACCAAGCGAAACGATGTAAAATATTTGGCTAGCATACAGGTTCTACCGTTGGTCAGTTTCTGTCTTGATCGTCGCGAGGGGGGGGGGGGGGGGCAATGGATGCGACTTGCCGTCTGTACTTGTGTTACGCTAGATGTAGACAGAGCATCAAACTCTTGACCGTATCCATGTCGAATGGCATTGGATACAAATACGACATGCAAAAGTGTAGCCAGCTTTTATTCATGTTGTTGGCGGAAAATGTTTCTTGCGAGGCATGTGGAACACGGAGAAGAGCGCCGCGTTCTTCTTCTTCTTCTTCTTCTTCTTCTTCTTCTTCTTCTTCTTCTTCTTCTTCTTCTTCTTCTTCTTCTTCT